CCTACAGGGAAGCAAACTCAAAGGTCTAGTTTTTAAACCCACTCTAGTAAATGGTCTGACTTCCCGCTGAGCAGTGCAGGCTCTGGGCTGCTTGTGCAGCACTTCCTGGCTGTGCTCCCAACTCCCTGCCTGGGCAGCTCCAGCGGCAGGGAGCAAGGGCCAGGGTCTGTTCAACTGGCTGGGGGCAGCTCAGGCTGGGGTGCTCTGGGTCCAGGCTGCTGCCCCTTCCCTGGGAGAGCTCTAGGCTGTGGGACTTGGGGTGCAGGGTCCTTTGGAGCAGGCCAGGCAGCTGGGCAGAGCACGCCTGGCTTCTGGGCGGTGCAAGGGAATGAAATTTAACTGCAAAGGCTTTTTATGTTGCTGTACTCCCCCAGAAACAGCAGTGCTTGTCCAGCACCTGCCAGGCTACTACTAGGAGTAAGGTTTCTGTAAGCAAACACTCTGGCTCTGCAGTGGGGACAGGCCAGCTGAAGCAAGTTGGGTGCAAGAAAGGCCCAACCCTGTGGCAGCCTTGGAGCCTCCCACTGCAGCAGGAGGAGGAAAGCTGCTGTCTCATGGAGCGCTGTGCCTGCTGAGGCTTTCCACAGCAACTTTTTCAGCATGCTAGTAAAAGGGAGCTTACCAGGGAAGGGCAGAGGGTTAGAGTTACATCGTCCTTAAGCCCAGCTTTATGCCACAGGCAGTTTATCTTGCATCTTAAAAACGCTAGGGACCTTTCTGAAGCGCCTCTGGCTCCCATTCCTCACCTTTTCCCTCAGGTATTGGAGGAACCAGCCTCCAATGGCATTTCCAGCTGTGGAATGCCCTTACCCACCTGTGGGTGTAGAAGCTGGCCCCATGGCTTGTACCCTGCAGTCTCGTTTGCCTTGGCTGGAGCAGCAGCGGGAGGGAAGGGAGGGAGCTGTGTGCTCAGCGGGAAGCGAGGGAGTCCCCTGGGCTGAGGTATTCGGGTCAGTGAGCAGCCTGACGCTCGGGGCCTGCACAGCCCCATGCCACGTGGCAGTGCAAGGTGCAGAGTATGATCCCTCACTCCTTTTCACCCCACGCTCTGAAGAAGGGCCTGGCTTTGGTCCTGCGTGTCCTCTGCCTCACAGGCAGATGTGGAGGGATGGCTGGCCTCCCCATTCAGCTCCCTCAGGGGGCTGTAGACGTAGTCGCAGCTCTCACCTCGCCTCTTGGAGCTGGCTTTGAGCAGGAGGCCCACGTTTCCCATGGCGCTGATCACCAGCAGCAGAGCCAAGGCAGAGGTCACAGAGATCCAGTTTGTCCTGTCAGACCTAAGAAAAATCCACATAAGCAACATCTCTCCGCCTGCTTTCATGTGTTCCCAGCATGCAAATGACTTCTCAGGGTTCATGCTCCCTTCCCTGTCATCACACCCTGGCGGTTCTGCACTGGGGCAGGTGAGAATGTGCTCTGTGAAAGGCTGCGCTGGCACCAGAGTGCATGGAGGAGTTTAGCTTTCCACGTATCCATGCAGTTTAGGAGTGACCAGCAGAGCAACTGCAGCCTCACCCACAGGAAGGCAGCTGCGCTCTGGTGCTGGCACTGTCCCATTCGCTGCGGCATGCACTGTGGGAGAGGAAAGGCAGCTCTCGCTCGACTCCCAGCTGCAGAGCACCAGGAGCATGACCTGTCGCTGACGGGGCTTCAGCTCAGCACTATGACTGGGTTTCTATCGTCTCCCCTACCCTCACCTCTCCCACCGTGAGAGCTGTAGGTGATACAACGAAGCCAGAACACAGATGCTTGGGGCAGAGAGGCAGCCCTGGCAGCCAGGAGCTGGTGTGAACAATCCCACCTTGCAGCGAGCAGGGGATGGCGTGGGGGGGGGGGTGTGGATACGCATATACAGTGAGTATTACACACTTACTCTGACAGAGACAACTTTTCTTTGCTCCCTCTCTTGTTCTGTGAAGCCAAACACTGCCCAGCTGGAAAACAAAGAATAGAAGGAAGAAAAGCAGTGTTGGGGGAAAGGTGTAACATTCCACTGCAAAACAGCAAGTTTTGGGAAGAGGCCAGCCAGCCAGAGCTGGTAACTCAGCAAACGGAAGAGCAGCTTTGGTGCAAAAGGTTCTAACTCATTTAAAACACCTCCACTGTCGTCAGCAGTACCTTTGTTTAACTGTTCCTGTATTGCCAAGTCGTAGGTGACGTTGCAGCTGCCTGTCTCCCGGTCGCAGGGACACGCGTGTTCACACGCACACTGTTGCCGGCAGTTTGGCCCGTACCAGCCCATGGGACACTCTGGGGAATGGATTACAAAGGAGTTGGTCACTGTCAATGCTCCACGTGCTGTAAAGCCATCCAGTTCCCTACCGCAGCTCCCACTGCCCCCGGCTCAACCGTGCCTGCTGCACCAGGATGGCCACAGTCGGTGCTTCGGGACAGGCTCAGCCCTCACCTACATCTCCCTGAGGCGCTCGCGCTGCACGGCAGTCTCTGCCGCTTGCTGCCAGCTTGTCTCTCTCCCTGCCACGTCTGAGCTACGGCCCTGATGCTCAGCTCATAAGCAAAGGGGAAGGGGGCAGCAGGGGCTGATCCCTAATGGGAATCAAGGACTCATGTCTGAGCACAAGCATCCTGGGGGCTCTTCGGCTGCGCTGAGCAGTCAGGGCCCCGGGTTTCTGCAGCCTAACGCTGTTCCACCTGCCCACCGTGCTTCCTCCGGCAGCCTGAAAGCACCACGCTGTGAGTTAACTGCTGTTGTTTTATTTACTCCACAGAGATGTTGTAAAGCAGGGATGGGGCTGGCTGAGCGCTCCCAGGCTGAGAACAGACGGACCCATGCACAGTTTACACCCAGGCTGTAATTAACCTGTCTGGTCACCAGAGCAGGCTGTTCAGTCAGCTCCACAAGGGCCTGGCGTGCTGGAGGAAAGCTGGATGTTGAGAACATAGCCAGCTCTGTGACCACAGGCACAGCTTGAAGGCCATCAGCTGGCATGGCCCTTTGGAGCAGTTCAGTCACTGACTTGGATCACCCAAAGCCTGGGCTCCAGGCACGGCCTGGAGCAACACCCACAAGCGCAGGATGTTATTCACGTTCTACAATCACGAGCCTGGGAAAGCAACACAGTTCTCTGGGACAGCGACTACGCAGGAATCCCATTTTCTAATGATGAAGAAAACCCTTCTCTCTGCCTCCTCCTTTTCTTTGTAGCCAGTCTGGGTATGGCAGGCAAGCCCTTGAGAGCTGGGAGCTGGCAGGTCACACTCCTGCTGTGAAGTTCAGGCCTGAGCCTGCCTGGCAGACCCCACAGTGGCTTTGCCTGCAAGAGGTGGCTCAGACGTGACATAAAAGCCTCTCCGCAGTCCAGGCTGTCATTTGGAGCAGCCCTTACCTTGCTCACAGCTGGTGCCATAGTACCCAGCGGGGCAGGAGCAGGATCCGTGCACGGGGTCACACAAGCCACCATTCTGGCACTGGCATTTCTGGGTGCAAGCGTCTCCGTAGAAACCACTAGCACAAGCTACAGGAGACAAGCAGAGATCTATCATATCAGGGCCCTGACTACAAAGGCAAGCAAGTCATGAGGGCCGTGAAGATGATCAGGGGCTGGAGCCTTTCTGCTATGGGGACAGGCTGAGAGAGTTGGGGGTGTTCAGCCTGGAGAAGAGAAGGCTCCGGGGAGACCTTATAACAACTTCCCATCCCTGGGGGGAGGGTCTACAAGAAAGCTGTTGAGGACTTTTTACAAGTGCCTGTAGTGACAGGACAAGGGCTAACAGGTTTAAATTGAAAGAGGGGAGATTAAGGAAGAAATTCTTTTTGGAGAAGGTGGTGAGGCACTGGCACAGGTTGCCCAGAAAACCCCATCCCTTGGAAATATTAAAGGCCAGGCTGGATGAGGCTTTGAGCAACCTGGTCTAGTGGAAGGTGTCCCTGCCCATGGCAGGGGGGTGGGAACTAGATGGTCTTTAAGGTTCCTTCCAACCCAACCCATTCTAAAATAATCCCACCCCATGCTTACACCCACGGAGCAGTCACTGGCACAGGGTGGCTGCTCAAAGAACAGAAGCTGAGCCTGTGCCATGAGCAAGGGCTTAAGTGCTTCCCACCAAGCCAATATTAAGATGCTCGGGCTGCAATTAAACTCCCACTGACAAAAAGGAGCAGCATGGCATAGCCTGTCCCTTCGCTGCTCCCTCCTGGGGAGCCACTCGCTGCTGGGAAGAGGTTTACACTCCCTTTTTCCTGGCCATGAAGGAGCAGGAGGAATGGAAGTCAGCGTTACCTTCAGTGCAGTTGCTGCCAGTCCAGCCAGCATCACACAGGCACCCAGCTGTGCAAAGACACACAAACAGGCATTAACAACAACAGAGACAGACTTAGAAATAGCACAAACTCAGAATTAGGAACTTCTGCTTCTTGGGGTGCCCCTTTAACTGTCCCTGCCTCTGCCAGGGAACCCACAGAAGAGAAATCCTGGCCTCACACACAGGTTAGGTTCAAATACCCAGCCCCATACAGCTGCCAAACCCAGCAAAGCCTCCTGCTGACTGGATCTCCAGGGATTAACTCTGGGTCAACTAACAGCAACTCCCATACCCATGGAGCTCTGACCAGTCACTTCACTGATGCAAACCTGGCTGCAAACTGAATAGGGGAGGTAGCAAAGAAAGAGGAAAACAGGATTGAGCAGGCATGGCTGAGCAGAAGCCTGGGGGACCATGTCAGCAGTCCCTCGGGTCAAAACAAGTTTATAGACGAGTAGCACTTGCATGCTTGTAAAAACTGTGAAGCAGGAGAGTCAAGAAGGAACACTAAGCAGAGGGGGCAGAACTCAGCTGCTTTGTCAGTGTCATGTGCTGCCCTTCCCATCAGCAGATTTACAAACCAGCACCCTAGGGGGCAGAAGGAGAAACTGAGGCACAGAGTTTGAAGTCAAGTCCTATTACAGGTCCAGTTTCCAGATCCAAGTCCCAGCGTAGCACTGCTGCTGCCTCCTAAGAGCAACATGTTCTGACCACCCCTACGCTGCTTCGGGCACTGGGGGAAAGAGGGGAGCAGCTCCATACAGCCTGCAGGTAAAACGAGGGCTGAGGCACCCAGCACCAGCCGGCTCCCAGAGCCAGGGCATGGGCTGGCCAGGCACCTGCAGCCCTAAAAGGCCGGGCTCCTGGGGCCAGGAAGCCGCTCCACAGTGCTGCTCTCTGCAGCGAAGGAAGCGGCTGCTGCTGGTGCCAGTTCATGTGGGCTACACTCCGTCACAGCAGGGTGGGAAAGGACTCCGTGGACCAGCCAGGACTGCATGCTGCAACACACTGAAGCCCCAGTGCGCTGCCTCGCCGACAGGCAGGCAATATTACCTGTGTATACACTACCCAGGTCCATGCTTTCCCTAGAGCCACCCACGGGCGCCCACTGGCATCCCTGCCCGCCGCAGTGACTCACAGTCAGTGCAGATGCCATGCAGGCTGCAGTTGGAAGGGCCACAGTCCAAGATATCACAGGCTGAGCCTCTCCAGAAGCCTCCCGCGCAGTGGCACTCCCCTCCCACGCAGTCCCCATGACCGCTGCAGTCTGCAGGCTCGCAGGCAGGCTCGTGGATACACATGACGGTCGAGATGCTCCGAGGGCAACGCCACATGTTGTCAAAGGAGCTGGGGATAGAAGACGGGTGCCGTAAGGCATGCAAGCACTGTGCTGCTCCCAGCCCTACATGAAACTAGGTGATGTAACCCACAAATGTTCATCCTGGTTCACAGTGGTGATGAGAACATTAGTAGTGGGAAAATAGAAACACAAAATAGATCTGAGTCAATGTTTTAACTGAGTGTTAACGCCTATTGGATAAAGTCATTTCGAACATGGAATTACAGAAAGCAGCATGCAAGAAAGTCTCCCTTTGGCAGTCCCACCTACCCCAAGTCTGGCGTTCAACGTGCCTTTGCCTGAATGTTATCTGCTTTGATACAAGCGACAACGTTGCAGTTATAAAAAACGCTTGGCAGCTGTCAGACTGCAAACTGAATTTTAAATCCCTTCATGTTTGCAGTCAGAGATTACTAAAAAGCTGAATTTAAAGTAAAACATTCTTTAGGTGCCTTCACGTGAGGCTGAGCAGGGTCTCCCAAGTCGCTGTTTCTCTTCCATAATTAGAAGCTGTTGACAGACCTCTGCTAATTCCTATGCATGTGCAGCTCTGAATCTCCCAGTCTAAGAGCTGCTGCCTTATCCGATTCCCACATCAGGCCACTCAGTCATGTCCAAGAGCTTTGCTGCATGTCTGAAAAAGGCTAAACTTTAATCCCGGATGAGTAAGTGGAAAACATACGTAAGCACTAAATTGCTTTAAATGTTTACTCTCCCTCAAAACTTGTCACTCGCCTTTACGCTGTGAACTGCCAGCCCTGCAGAGTGAGTCCCTGGCAGAGCAGAGCGGCAGGACTGAGCTCCGCATGCGAACGGGAGACACGTGGTTACTTGTGCAGCCCTGGGCACATGCAGCCAGCACCTACCAGTGCTCAGACGGGTAGTTCGCGAGGGTCCCATTTAAAACCAGCGTTGCAGACCCTCCACCGTCCAGGTTGATAGCGTTGATGATTCCCTGCTGCTTCAGGAATTCAGCCATTTCCCAGAGGTTCACCCTGCAGAAGCAAACAGTTGTTTGTTGTTCATTCATGCTGTCTGACTTCAATTAAACTGCTATACCAGAAGCGTGGAAGCGAGGTCCCCCATAACCCAGGTAAGCTGACTTGCTGCACGGAGGTTGCTCTTTGGGCTCTGCCAGAAAGACACCAAGCAGCTTCGACTGACCTCGAGCTCTGCAGGTCTCTGCCTTAAACATATTGCTGGCAGCCGCAAAGTCCCTCCAGTTCCAGTGACAGAATTTAAAGGCCGGTCTTGCACCTGACCCCAGACCTTACGACAACCCTGGCCTTACCCTCTGGATTCCGTCTGTCCATCCACGTGAACCAAGACCAGCTGCCCCTGATTGTCATGCCCAACTGCGGTCCTGGCTGATATTACATTGATGAACTTGTCGAAGGTTCCTGTGCAGGAGAGGGAATAGTTCAGGCACCAGCTGGGTGACAGAACTGGCCTTTAGACACATCTGTCTGCAAAACACCTCCCAGCAAAGAGCTCATTTAAGCTGGAACACAGTGAGAACAGAGCCCAGATTCCTCTCGTTGATCCAAGCCCATTTAGGAATAACACTTCCAGAAGCACTCTTGTTCAGTGTTTTGCCTGGCACAGGGCAAAGAAGGGGATTCAGAGCCCTCAGTTTTAAACTCCTGGAAGAGGCATCTGCTCGGCGTTTCTCTGGACAAGTAGCAATACCAGTGATGCCACCACTACTCACAGTCCTCGGCAAGCTCTGCTGGACAGCCCCGCGCAGGCGAGCGCAGCCTCACCCTGCAGGCAGCCTATTTCTCGTACTGCACCTGCTGCAGACTCGGGGAAAGCAGCACAGAAGAAATTTGGACATTTTAAGTGAGCAGCAAACTGCAACTAGACAAGATCGTTTCCACTGCTACCCCCTCCTTCCAGCAGCCCCATCAGAAGGACAATCTACACCCAGGCTGAAGCTAGGCTTTGCAATATTTACCTGTGGTTTGAATTTCACCACACTCAGCCATTTGACTCTGATTGACGTACACTTCTCCATTTCTTAGGAGCCAAACTACCCCACTCACAAGCTGCACAAAAGGGTTTGCTTGATCCAAGACATCTTCCTCAGACAGGTAACTAGGAAAGAGAGAGCAGGAGGGGTTACCCACAGTCAGCAGTGTCACGTAGAAGCCTCTTCTGCTGCAGCAGGCTCCAGAAGCAGGGAGATGGTGGCTGAATGAAGGCTACCTACAGCCAAACCCAGAGGCCAAGCAGAGCGAAACATTCACTTTAGCAGCCAGAGTCGACCCTGTTCTCCACTATTCTGCATAAAAACATGATTAATGATGGTCCTAGGCCACCGTGTATGACAGCTCCTGCCAGGAACATGGCCCCGTGGACCTGAGCCAGGATCATAAGCATCTGGCAGAACATGAGGGCAAAGCCATTGCCCAATACTCAGGGATCTGTGGCAGCACTAACATCTTGCTGTCTGTCAGCTTCCACTCTGCAGCACAGTGACACCAAACAGCTTTTGAAAGTTTTCACCAACAACCTCCAGTCTGCTACAGCTGCGCTGAGGGGAAGACACTGCTGGATGGTACCTGCTCCCCTCCGTCTGGGAAGGAGCTTCCTCTACTCTTCCAGACAGCAAAACCTCCCACTGAACAGACAGACAGTGAAAGGACTGCTCAGGTACCATTTCTATGATTAGCGTTGTGTGTCACTGTGGGCTGCTTCCCAAGGGATATTCTTCCCCTAAGATTTAGGGTGCCGAGTAACATCCGCCTCACCAGCAGCAGATGCCGGGGGATGTTTGCAACAGGAGAGGAGAGCAGCAAAGGCCAGGGCTGGACAGCGCTGCTTTCACTGTAAGCTCTGTGGGGGGTTCAGGGTTTAGAACTGATTGCTCTGCGTGCTCCAGACAGGTCTTGCGAGAGCTGCATGCTCAGCTTTCCTTTTGTCAGCATCCACGACTGCAGCTGAACAAAGCTTCATGCTTTGTAGAGAAGTGTAAGTGAAAACACCAGCATGGAAAACATGCAAAAAGAAATTCCTTCACCCATGGGAAGGGAACACAAAGACAGAATGAACACCACGGAGAACAGATCAAACTGCAGAACAGCCTGAGCCTGGAATAACCAAGTGTCAGCCTTCAAAGCCTGTAACTACCCATCATCAGTCTAGTTGGTAGAGGCAGCATCTTTGCCCGGGGGTGTGACATGACCCTGCACACTGTCCTGCTGCTCACAATGCAGTGTGCAAGGGTCGAGTGCAAGTTACTTTCCCCACTGCCCTGACAGACCACATGACACCAAAACTATCTCCAGTTTCATGTTTTGGAAGCCAGGAAGATGCTGAGCAGCCAACACCTCACACAGTGCCATGACTGCATTTCACAGGGAAATCCTGCCACGGCAGGACAGGCAGGAGCTGAGAGTACGGACTCAACGGCCACCTTGCAGTTGCCGGTGGTCCTCCTGGCAGAAGCCCCCTCACTAATGTGAACACGTCACCAACTCCCCCAGCCCCTCTACTGCAGGAATTAAGGCTGTGGCTCTCAGGGCTGTCAGAAAACAGCTGCACACTAAGGGCCTGGCATGGTACAGTCACTTTGGCTTCCCAGGGACCCTTGCTGAGCTCCGAGGGCATGTGGGAGTGGGCTAACAGAAGGGTGGAGAATGCAGCCAACAGACAGTGCAGCTTCCACACTGCTGCTCAATCCTCTGAGACCACCAGAAGGACCTCGGGGAACACTCCCAGGACCCCTAGGGTGCCTGCTCCTGCTGGGAAAGGGTAGCTACTGGGGGCCTTTACTTCCAGCGAGCACTAATAGTCCTGCTGTCAGCTGTTCCTCACCAAAGGATGCTCTGAGCTTTTGTCTCCAGCTGACTCCCAGTTTGGGAGTCTCACACACCGTTCCAGCTGGTGCCAGGATGAGACCAGAAGTCCCAGGAGCCAGTAGGTGATGCAGCTTGTGCAGTGGGGAGCTGGAAACTCCAGGCAGGGCAGCGTCTGCGGGCAGCTGTGGTGTCACACCGCAGGGCACAGCCTCCAGCCAGCACAGCAGACACCTTGACTCGGCCCGAGCTGTGGAGGTAGAAGGCAGCACTCCAGCTCTCAGCTGCGGAGATATCTGGTGCCTCTCGCTGAAGCCCCAAGGCCAAGGGAAAGGGTATCCTGCTGTGTGCCGAGGAGCTATGCTGTGGGACAAGGAGCTATGGGAGGAGGTCTGCATGCTGCACACCACACGGGGTGATGAGAGAGATGGGCAGATCTTCCCTCACACCTGCCAAAACAAACCCCCGAATGCCACAATGCCCAGAAGGTGTATTCAGGATCTGCTCAGGGTGGCAAATCCTGGGATGATGAAGACTGGGAGCTGTTCCGCTACCTACGTCCAGTGCCCTGGCAGCAGCCAAGAGGCTGGGAACTCTGTGGAATGAAGCATCTGGGCCAGCTGAGCCTGAACCCCACAGCAGCACCAGAGGAGGTGGGTGACAGCGGGAAGCTGCCTGCTGTGGGGGCCAGAAGCCCCCACCTGCTATCCTGTCTAGGGAGGTGTGCTGGGGGCTCGGATCTAGGATGGTGTGGGGAGACCGCTGAGGTTTCTCCAGCCCTCAGACTGCTATCCCCTGCTGCTCTTCTACACAGGCACCAACAGCACTGCCAGGGAGACTGGGAGTGTACCAGGAGCGACCGCACGGCTCTGGGAGTGACGGCCAAGGGTGGCCCAGGTCCTCTCCTCAATCCTGCTGGTGAGGAGGAAGGGCTTGAGAAGCAGTGGATGGCTTCTGTGGGTCCATATGCAGTAGCACAGCTCATGTTGATGATAGGAATTTGGTTTTTTACAAGGCTAGAATCTCTCTGAGGACAGACTGGCAGAGATGGCATCCACATGACCAAGTGCCAACCTCATGGAGTTTAACA